AAACAAAAAACAGCAACGGGAAATATTTATTTATATTTAAGAGATATTGGTGATAAGATCCATCCAATCAAAGCACACGCACCAAAGCTTACTGAAATAACACCTCACAATGCCGTCTCATATTCTTACCGTGTGAAGCCTCCACAAGTTCTAAGCATGTCCACGAAGGCAACACCAATAAAGCCATCTACATTTAGGATCAGGTTGGGTTTCTGGGGAAAAAAAATTAATCAAAATCAAAATGCTTGAATGTTATTTTAACATGAAATTGAGGAAAGGACTTACAGTCCAAAGCTGCAGAGAGCACGCAGCCTATTCTAGATCTTATCAATCTTTTTATTGGATCTAATAGTGGCTCAGAGGTTATCGCTGTTGCCTCACAAAGAATGTTCAGGACCTTCTGCTGTGGCGTTTGTATGTCACAGGTTTTCTCTGGTAGCTGCAGCTTCACCCACTATCAAAAAAAATGTTATTTCTCTCCATCTTGGCAGAGTCTAAAAGCTCAACAGTTGAATTTCCTGGTTACATTGAATTAAAAAAATATAACAAGTTTTCATTGGGCGTGGGTTCTGACACACGTCCCTGAATAACAGCACAAATTAGAACAAAAAGTGTTAAATGAGATTAAAAAGCCTGATTAATGTTTAATATTATTTATAGGACTATAAAATCCAGGTCTTCGTTCTGGTTACATTCCACTGTCAATCAAGGAATCTGCAGGTGTGGTCACCTGTGCAGAAAACTGAGAATAATTGCTTGCCTGCTGTAAAAATAAATGAAAAATCTTCTGTTCAAAGTGTTTAACCAAATTATTTGACAGCAAAGCCCAATCTCTGAATCCTGAATGTCAATGCAGTCATCAGGTTCTTTAGATGTAGCAGCTTTCTGTTGCCATTTCATTTCATCATTTCACTGTTTAAAATACCTTAGAGGTGGTGATCTTTTCTACATCGAGGGCGTAGTCAAGCAGCTGGGTGGAAGGGAAATTCTGCTTCACAAAGTCCTTCAGAATCTGCACTCGCATGTCTGGGTTGTTGATCTGAAACCAAATCAAACTCCATTTAAAACAATGGCTGCGTGTCCATCTTAATCAAAATCAGAAGAAGCAGTTAAGCCACTGATAAATAAGAGGCTCATTTACAGATTAGAGCACCGTTTATTGTATAAAGTCGAGTGTTGCTCACCGATTTGACCCTGTGGCCGATACCCATAATCAGCTTGCCATCCTTCTTCATCTTGTTGACAAACTCCATGGGGATCATGCCGCTGTCAAATGCCTTGCTGAACTGCTTTGCAGCCGCATCCAGAGCACCTCCGAAACGGTCCCCCTGATTTTTAGGAATAAATTGCGTTTCAATTCCGAAACATTATGGCCAGTTTGTCAGAAATCAT